TGGATCTGCATGCGTCGGAAGTTTTCTTGCGAATTCTCTAACTTCTTTTTTATTTGTCAAGAGATGGAACTTTGTTAATATTATCTTAAAGCGATTTGGCCCTAGGGCTAGGGGTTACCAGCTGCTCAATTTAAGATTAAATTACTTTAATTATTTATTAGCATTTGTTGTAAAGTGAATTAAGTAGATAACTATAGAAAATATGATAATTAACAAACTAGCAGTGAGAAAGTAAAAATTCAAGAAAACAACAGTGAGAAAGTAACATGCATTAAGGTTTATTACAATTTAACCCTTCAGATTTTGTGTGTTGAATTTTTTTGCGAATTGATTCAAAATTTAGTAATTTGTCCATATTTATAACTAATATCCGGCTAACAATTGAGATTACTCTTTAAATATATTATACTATATGGCTACTTATTTTATTAATCATCTAATAATAATAATATCTAGTTTTCTAACACAGTTGATTTGCTGCACTTATATTTTATTCGGTTACTGATCTTTTTTTCTGTAATTTGTTAAAAAGATACAACCAACTTATTATAATTATACGGTTAATTAAAATTTGTATCCGGTTAACAATTAAAATTACTTTTTGAATATTTTCTACTATCCGGATACTGATTCTATTATCCGAATCCGTCGTCGCTTTCATCAGACTTGTCGTTGTTTCCAACATATAAAGAGCTGAAAAACGCATTGAGGAGCAAAAATCTCCTAGAAGCTACCTAAATAGTGACATACTAGTGTCATAATTTTTTTTTTTTCACCCAATTACCATATTATTTTTGTACATAGAGTGCAAATACTCTTTGTTGTATTCTGAAAATCTACGTAATTTTTCTGAAAATGGTCTTTACGTTTTTCGTTAGTTTTTGAAAAATAGTTAGCTATGTATATGATATTAGCTTAAGAATGATATAATTAACCGACACTCGTTTTTTTTTGTTTGTTAAAGAACCAACTCTCGATTTTCCGTTGCAATAACATAACACAAAAGAATGGTGTGGTACTGTGGTGTATTGTCAATAAAAAGATAACTATACTAATTTAGATGGTTTTTTTTCTTTCAATATGCATTACTATAATAATTTTGTTATCTATATTAGCGGAACAAAGTTTATGATACTTAAATGTTCAACAATCAATAATTTGTCCAACAATAGTTAAAGTATTAAGAATTTTCAAGTGCTATTTTTCAAAAAATGCCATATTTTCAAAATTTTTGCAAAAATACCACTTTTTAAAAATTATTTTTTTTTTTTATTATATTATTTATGTTTGGGTTAACTATGTTGTATTATGGTTTAATTTTGAGGGTTTAGGAGGTTTTAGGGGTCAAA